TTGGAGAACTGCCTGTAAGAATCTGTGTCTGAATTTTACCTTTCTGCCAAGGGGTGTGTTTATGGGGTGTTAATGTATTAGAACAGTTAATTAGTAATAGAATCATAGAATAGAATCCCTACAGTGTGGAAACAGGCCCTTCGACCCATCAAGTCCAAACCGACCCCCAGAGCATCCCACCCAGGCCCATCCCCCTGTACCCCACCTAATCCCCCTGTAACCCACCTAATCTACACATTCCTGAACTCTACGGGCAATTTAGCATGGCCAATCCACCCAACCTGCACATCTTTGGACTGTGGGAGGAAACCGGAGCACCCGGAGCAAACTCACGCAGACACAGGAAGAACATGCAAACTCTACACAGACAGTTGCCCGGCGATGGAATTGAACCCGGGTCCCTGGCACTGTGAGACAGGTAAGGCATGTACCGACTTAAAATATTTTGAGGGGGTCTGGTCTGGTCCATAACACTAGGATGCATTGTAAGGCAAGGATGAGTGTTGCCAGAGACAATGAAATTCTTGTTGCTGTTGAATTTGGTGATCACTGAAATATGTGACTTTTTTGTATACCTGATGGGGTAGTGAGGCAGTGAACATGTGCTATGGAAGGAGTGGACTGAACAACACAGCAGGTTTATCTTTTCTGCTCACACTTTTCAAAAGATTGTGTGTATGAGAAATTACAGCACAAGAGGTGTATAATTCACCCATATATGTCTATGGTCCCCTTGATGTTGTGCCTTTATCCCCCATTTTTAACAACTCCTTCGTCCAATTTTCTCTGCCTTCCTCAGCTCACCAGTTTTCTCCCCCTCTGCTACTCATTCCCCCTCCCATTCTAACGCACCTGCCTTTTCGATACATTCCCCTCCATTCATCCTCCCCTCCCATTTTCTCTCCGCCACTCACATTCTCCCCTTCCAATTCTCTTCCTCCCCACTCCATTGTCTCACTCCTCTATCCCATTTTCTCTCTCCCCCCCCCATTCTCCCTATCCCTTCCTCTCATTCACTCCCCTCCTTCCCATTCGCTCCCTCCCATTCCCTTCATCTCATTGTGTTTCATGCCTCCTGTTCTCTTACACACTCTTGCCATTGCTCTCTTTCCTGCACTTCTCACACACTCAATTTTCCATATGCTTACTCCTCTTCTTCAACCCTCCCTCTTGCCTTCAATCATTTTGTTGCTCAATTGCCCCACTGCCTCTTTCAGTTATTCTTGTTCTCACACCTCTCAGTCTTTCACCTCTTTTTCACTCTTTCTCTCCCCTTTTTCACTCATTCTTCCCCCACTGCCTTTCACTCATTCTCACTATCCCACCGCCACCCCTCCCTCTCTTTCGCCTTTCCGTCCCTCCCTCTTGATGCTGACATTGCTGGATCCTGACTCATTTCCTTTCCGGCCGCGGGCGGTCTAGCTACTTTCTTTGAAGGATCGCGTCCGAAGTTGTCGCTAGTTTGTAGTACTGTGTGGGCTTTTTCTCCGCTGTATCTGACTGCCTGAGGTTTGGCGGTGGCTGGGGAAGATGACGGTGAGAGAGAGTTGGCAGCGAAACGTCGGTCCCATGTCCTTGTCATTGTTGCTGTTTGTGTTACCGGTGAGTGAGATCTTTGATGCGGTATAGATCCCTCCAGTATTCACAGCCACCGGACTTCAATGCGGCCTGCCATTTCCCAACTTTCTCCTTTAAACCGCCAACCCTTTGCCTCACTGACTGTGTAGACAGGAGCCTCATATACCGCTGGCTGTGTTAACTCCACTTGCCCCTTGGCTCTTTCGAGCGAACTCCTTAAGTACCCCGAGCTGGGGCAGGGAACGCTGAGGAGCTGGAGGTTTACCCCTCTCTCTGCCCCGGCTCCTTGCTCTCCTTCATAGCCTTCACCTCGCCATTAGCAGATTTACCTTCAGCTGCCTAAGGCCTCCATCTTCGGAATTCCCCAGAACTCTCCTTAATCCTTTCAGGCGCTCCTTTCTTTGACAAAACCTTCAGCAATCTGCGCAAGTCTTGGCGATTCATATGAAGTTCCACCGGACTTTTTCATGATAAAACAACTTGAATTGATGCAAGAGCTATAAAGGCAAATGGAATGTTTCTCACTGTGAGGGAAATGGGATGTAAATGTTGGGATGTTATACTCCAGTTGCACAGGGCATTGGAGAGACTTTATTTCAAATGTTGTGTTTAGTTCTGGTCTCCTAATTTACAAAAAAAGAAAGGAAATAAATGCATTTGAAGTAGTTCGGAGAATGTACACTCGACTGATTCCTGGCCTAGCAATCTTCTGGGGAATGGCGGGACTTGTTGGCTCACGTCTTTTGGAGTTGAGAAGGGTGAAAGGGCAGATTAATGGGACATACCAGATCCTGAAGGAAAGTTGTCCTGTGAATGCTGAAGGACTGTTTCGCCTTTGTGGGAGAGACAGGGATTAGAAGACACAGTTTAAAAATTTAAAACGGAGAATGAGGAGAATTTTTTTCCTCAGAGGGCCAGGGAAATGCGGGACCCACTTCCCCGTGAGCGCTAGAGACAGTGTCATTGAATATTCTGGATTGACAAGGGAATTAATCGGGGTGGTAAGCAGGAAAGTGGAGTTGCCGCCACGATCAGATCAGCTATACTGTTATTAAATGGTGAAGGAAGCTTGAGGACCCCAATGTTCTGCTGTTAATTCGCGTGGATGGAGGAGTGAACGCATGCGAGATCAGAAAAATAGCAACAGATCGTTTAGCACCTCAAACCTTTCCGCTGCGATTCAGCAAGGCCATGACCAGCCTGTTACCTAACTCCAAAGACCCATCTTTTCCTTGTGTCACTTAATTTTTTAGATTACAACAATCTATCATTGTAATTAACAACTGAGTTAATATCAATTGCCATTTGCAGAAGAAAACTCCAAACTCCTACCATCCTCTGCCTGTCAAAGTGTTTCATAATTTCACTCCTGAAGGATCTAGCTCTAATCTTTAGACTGTGCCCCTTAGTTCTAGACTCCCTGACGAGACAGTTTCTCATTATCTACCCTATCTGTTGTGTTGTGTATTTTGCGAACTTTGACAAAACTCCTTCAATTTTTGATTTCCAAGGTCTACAACTTTGGCTAGTGTAATCTTTCTTTCTAATTTGACTCTTTTAGGTAATCCTTAGCTCAATCTGTGCTGCATGCCCGACAGGGTTAACATCGTTCCTAAGGTGTGGTGCTCATAACTGTTCACAGTAATTCCAGGTGTGGTGTAGCCAGGACTTTGTACAACTGCAGCGTGGTGCTTAGCTAATATTCTACTTCACTCGATATAAAGGTCAACCTTCCATTAATTTTTTACATTATTTTCTATACCTGTTCATGATATTTTATTGATCAAAAATATGAATATTATCTCCTTATAAAAGACTTAAGCTTTTGTGCAATCCTATTGAGCAAAAACCAAATAATTTTCATCATTTTGGCAGGTGTTTGTTCATAGCCACAGTTAGTTTTTGGCCTTATTTGCCAGAGAATCGGAGTACAGGTTTCTTGCTGCAGTTTGGTCGAGCCTGGGTGAGAGCGCAGCTGAAGTATTGTGCACAGTTTTGTCTCCTCTGCCGAAGGAAGGATATACTTGTCAAAGACATATTTTAATGAAGGTTCATCAGACTGATTCCTGGCCTGACCAATTCTGAACTCGAAAAGGTGGTGATGAGCTGCTTTCATGAACTGCCGCAGTCCTCGGGGTGTAGGCAGATCCATAATGCTATTAGAGAGGGAGTTTCAGGATTTTGAACCATGATATACTTCCACATCAGGGTGGTGAATGGCTTGGAGAGGAAATTGCGGGGATAGTGTTTCCCTGTATTGGCTGCTTTTGTACTTCTAAAGGTGGAGCTCATTGTTTAGAAGGTGCTATCGAAGAGCAGTTGCTGTTATAGTTGGTCCATGGTACTGCCAGTGTACATCTATCATGGAGGGAGTGAAAGTTAAAGATGGTGGATGGAATGCCAATCAATGGGATGGTGGTGGAGATGCTCAGCTGGAAGGTATGATTGTCTAGG